TACTGTCAAAGTGGAGATCCACTGCCTCTTCCAAACTCTCTATTTTCCCTCTTTGTCTAGCTAGTTCTGTGCTCTTGGCTTTTCCTGTTTCCTCTGATGAATGGTCTTCCCACCTGGAGATGTGGCCCTGACTGTGCCCACCATGTGGGGGCTAAGAATGCCAGTTATCTGTGCCCAGTACGGCGTCTTCCTGAACATTCATGTCAGGCAGCTCCTGAATCTTACCCTGTAATCAGCACTTTCTTTTTGAGCTGAGAATAATTCTCTCCTGCTTTTCCTCTGTGTGGGTAAGGTTGCAGGCTAGTGTCCCAGGAAACAAGCTCTCAAGGAAAGAACAGCATGCAGGATGTTTCTTAAGGAGGAATCCTGGGGGTCAGTGGAATTCCCGGGTGTCACAGTGATAAAGAATCTGCCTGCCAATGCAGGAGACACAAGAGACACAGTTCCAATCCCTGGGGTGGGAAGATCCCCTGGAGGAGGAAATGCAACTGATTCCATGACTCTTGCTGGGGCAGAGCCTGTGGACAGAGGAGCCTGGAGGGCTGCAGTTCGTGGGGTCCTAGAGAGTCAGACACAAGTAAGGCACTGAGCACGCACGCACTGGGGGTCAGCGCCTGGGCAGAGGAGGAGGCACTGAGCTGGGATGCTGGCCGCAGGCAGCCTGGACCACCCCTGCGAGCTCTGGTGCCTGAGAGTTGTTTCCTCGCCCCCAACCCCAGGCATCAGGCACTGGGCATCACTCCAGCCGGCCATGACCTTGGGCAAGTGGCTCTGGGAAGCTGCAGGAGTCCCCAGAGAAAGAGAAGGGTCTGCTGGCCAGCACTCCAGCATCTGGGGCAGCAGTGAAGGCAGACGGGCTTCCCAGAGCCCATCGCAGGCAGGGTCCAGGGCCTGAAATCATCAGGTCAGAGAGCCTCTTCTTGCAAAGCCCTCAGACTTCACAAGGCGGCAGGCAGACAGGGAAGGGCACAAGCCGTGGTCATTATTAATAATACAGTAATTATCGTAACTGAAGTGGGCTGAGAATGTCAGCATGGGCTCATGTGTAATTGTGCACAAAGGATTATTTACAACTGTGTAGGTTTTAAATTGATTTTTAAGACAAAATGTTTTTTTTCCATTTATTTTTATTAGTTGGAGGCTAATTACAATATTGTAGTGGTTTTTGCCATACATTGACATGAATCAGCCATGGATTACATGTGTTCCCCATCCTGAACCACCTCTCCCACCTCCCTCCCCATCACATCCCCCTGGATCATCCCAGTGCACCAGCCCTGAGCACTTGTCTCATGCATCAAACCTGGACTGGCAATCTGTTTCATACTTGATAATATACATGTTTCAATGCTATTCTCTCAGATCATCCCACCCTCGCCTTTTCCCACAGAGTCCAAAAGTCTGTGCTATACATCTGTGATTTTTAAGACAAAATGTTTTGAAATTAGCTACCTGGTGGCTCAGTGGTAAAGAATCCACCTGTTAAATCGAGATGCTGGTACAATCCCTGGGTCTGGAGGATCCCCTGGAGTAGGAAATGGCAACCCACTCCAGTATTCTTGCCTGGAAAATTCCACGGACAGAGGAGCCTGGCGGGCTACAGTCCTTGGGGTCACAAGAGTCAACCATGACTTAGTGACTAACCACAACCGCCACACTCAATTATAGTGCTTGCTGGTTGTTTTATTTACAAATCTAGTAAATTTTAGGTAAAGTGAAATGATCACCTTTCATGAGACTTTTGAATAACGTCCCATCAATTCAGGTTGAACACATTTCTCTCTGAAGAATCCAATTTACACACTTAGCTTGCTTTGCTAAATATTTTTAACTGTCTTCATATAGTTAATATATTTTTTTCTCTTTAAGACCATCACATGCCTCAGAGGAAAAACTTAAACAAAAGGTTCCCAGGTGTTTAAATAACTGTAGTAAATTGATTACATTTAATTTATGAATATCAGGCTAATTGTGACATTTTCACCAAACTTACATAAATGATTTTAAAACGCGAATGTTAAAAATCACAGGCCTAAAATCAATTATTAGTTTTAAATTAGTTTCTTCAACAAATCAGTTGCAAGGAAATTTAAAAAAGAAAAATGAAGTGGTCAATTTAAAAAACTATAAGAAAGAACACTGGTGGCTCAGGTGGTGAAAGAATCTGGCTGCAATGCAGGAGACCTGGGTTGGATCCCTGGGTTGGGAAGATGCCCTGGAGGAGGGCATGGCAACCCACTCCAGTAGTCTTACCTGGAGAATCCCCATGGACAGAGGAGCCTGGTGGGCTACAGTCCATGGGGTCACAAAGAGTCGGACACGACGGAGTGACTGTGCACCGCACAAGAAAGAACCAATCATTATGTGTGGAATTTATTTGCTTCTTGATTAAAACAAAACAGTTTATGGCATTCATAAGACAGAAATTCAAACACTGGACACTTGATGTTACTAAGGCATCATTGTCACTTCATATATATGTGTGTGTGTGTGTGTGTGTGTGTGTGTGTGTGTGTATGTATATAGTGCTATGACATGTGCGATTTGCTCCCAGGGGAGAACTGGATGAAGAAGGGAAAGTTTGTCCTGAGTTGGCAGTTGTTGAAACTGGGCCTGGGTTCATGTCCCCATCACAGGACTATACTATAAACGTTTGTATTTGTTTGGAATGCTGCGTAATAAACAATTAAAAAATCAAATTGGAATTTTAACACCAATTTCTGAGATTTCTTAAGTGATCATATTTTCCAAAAAAATCCATCAAATAAACTCACACATTATCCTTGTTTGTCAAATGTATTCCTTAACTAATCTGAAAACATGAATGCCATGAATTTGATTTGTTTCGCCATCTCTTCTAAAATTACTTAAAGTTGGCACTTCTTTATGTTTGGCCCCTGTCTATTTTACCTCTGAGACTCTGGTCATCCAATGGCTAAGACTCTGCATTCCCAGTGCAAGGGGTTCAGGTTCAATCCCTGGCTAGAAAACTAGACCTCACATGCATCAACTAAGAATTTGAATGCTGCAGTGGAGATTCTGTGTGCCACAACTAAGACCCAGCACAGTCAAATAAGTAAATAATGTTTTTTAAAAAGCTGTTAAAAAATAAAACTACTTAGGGTTGAAAAGACATCCCCTAGGCACTGGGGCTCAACCCAGGGATCAGCACCATGGGTTCTAATATGCAGCCAAGGATGTTAATCTCCTGCAGGACTTGCTAGCACTCAGGTTGCTGGACCCCAACCCCAGAGGTTCTGAACTGTGGGTCTGGGGCAGGGCGGAGGCTCTCCATTTCTCACAAGTTTAGGCGATGCTGATGCTGCTGGCTCAGGGCTCATGTTTGAGGATCACTGTTGCAGGCAAGCAGAGTTACTGCCTACAGAAGAGTGGAAGTTACTAGGTCAATAACTCAGGCCTGTTACACTGAAACTATTTTGTGAACTGCAGCTGCTTCCAGCCCTGATTCCTGAGTGGACATGGAGATGGTGGCTGTATGCGAGAGCGTATGAAAAATGTGTTTGGTCTTTGGATGACTTCTATGACAGTGGGGGAGGTCGTCTTTTTCATTTGGGTTTTTGCAATCCTTGTTCCTATGTTCGAATCACATCCAAAACTAACTATATCTTCTGAGAAGAGTTGAGGGAAAGGATGCATACTTTCATTTACCCACCCAGCTTCCTTCCTTGCCTGCCTGGACTTTCCATATTTTTCTCTCTCTATCTCTCAAGACATCTTAGTGTCTTCTGCTCTAGCTTGGAAGACATTTGAATCCAAGTCTGTAGGGTCCTGAATTTCCTCACATTTTTGTCTGATGTTGCGGCTGACGTTCTCACATTCTATCAGTCATATAGCTGGAGCATCTCACAGTCTGCCTGGGGAATCAGGGAGGGCTTCACAGAGGAGGTGATTTTGAGTGGCACCTCAAAGGATGAATAGGAGTATGGCAGGTGGACAGGGAAAACTGGTGTTTTCATGATTTCTGGAATGTCAGTTGGGGTGTGTTGGGGGTTACGGGGAGGGGGAGGGAAGAATGTGAAATGAGGCTGAACAGGCAGGCAGTCAGGGGCCAGGTCTTTGGAGAGGAAAAGAGAGATTTATCTTGGAGATGTTGAGGGAATTACTGAAGAATTTTGAGCAGAAGAGTGACCTAGGAACTTTACATGTTTGAAAGAGGAACCTGGCAGCCACATGGAGGATGGAATGGGGGTCAGACCCAGAAGTAGGCCATTTTACCAGAGGGAGATTATTTGTGTAGCAGCCATGCATGAGCACCAGACTGGGGTAGTCTTGGGGTTGGGAAGAGATGACGTTATTGACAATAATAAGAGGTAGACGTGTCGGCATGCTGATGTGTGTGTCTCTATATGTTTGTAATCTGCCTTGTCTTAGAAAGGCAGCTTAGATAAATGCATAAACAATCAAATCAAATTAATTGTAGAAGGAAACAGGACAAAAGGAAAAACCAAAATAGGAAAGATAAAATGAGATAATGAATGAAGTTCACATTGGGATATTTGAATCCTTACACTTGCCTAAGGTGAGCCATGAATTTGGCTGATTTTTTGAAAATCAGTGGAAAGGGAGGCTCAGTTCATTAGCTGATTCACAGAGCCCGTCACATAGAAGTACTCTGGCTGCCTGGGAAAAACAGAGGGAGCGTTGGTTCTGAAAACAGAGAAATGTCTCCCAGGGAGCCTCAGAAAGAGGGGAAGGGTTGATATGCCAAATAAAAACCTTAGCATTGTTGAGCGAGGGGATCTTGTTTTTCCAAGAGAGAGTTCCTCCGGGTGGGGATCCTAGAATTCAGGCTGAAAGATGGGGTTTGGTCACTGTCCTTCCCTTGGTGAGGGGCCTGGTGCAAAGCTGCCAGCCAGGCTATCTGATTGGCAAATACCTGTCTTGTCAAGGAAGAAGGGAATGCCCTCCTGGAGACAAGACAAAATAAACATTAAACAGCGATGAAGCTCTGGAGGGTGACAGGACATAGCCAAGCAGACATGGAAGGTGGTGGGCCTCCCCGGCGGTGTTCAAAGATAGAGTGGCTGGATGAAGGACTTTGTGCCTCAGGGAGCCCCAGTCTGAGGGGAGACACAGNAGATGAGAAGATCTGTGGCTACACCCAGGACCTGACAGACAATTTTGACTGGACCCGGCAGAATGCCCTCACCCAGAACCCCAAGCGCTCCCCCAACACTGGTCCCCCCACTGACATAAGTGGCACCCCTGAGGGTGAGGAGATGGTCTGCTGCTCGGAACGGAGAACTGCTTCAGGGAGGGGTCTAGCCCCGGGGAGCCCCAGTCTGAGGGGAGACACAGCGCTGTCCTCAGGGAGCCCCAGTCTGAGGGGAGACACAGCGCTGTCCTCAGGGAGCCCCAGTCTGAGGGGAGACACAGCCCTGCCTCAGGGAGCCCCAGTCTGAGGGAGACATAGCCCTGCCTCAGGGAGCCCCAGTCTGAGGGAGACACAGCCCTGCCTCAGGGAGCCCAGTCTGAGGGGAGACACGGCCCCAACTCAGGGAGCCCCCGTCTGAGGGGAGACACGGCCCCGCCTCAGGGAGCCCCAGTCTGAGGGGAGACGCAGCCCTATCTCAGGGAGCCCCAGTCTGAGGGGAGACACGGCCTTGCCTCAGAGAGCCCCAGTCTGAGGGGAGACACGGCCCCGCCTCAGGGAGCCCAGTCTGAGGGGAGAGACAGCCCTGACCTGCTAGAGAATTAGGAAGAAGAGAAGCTGCCACAGAGCTAAGAACTCACAAGTGCTGGCCCAGACTCCTGTGCTGTGAGGCAGGGAGGACAGATTGGGGTGGTGTGAGGCACCTGGGATTCGGATAGCTGATACAAGGGCAGAAAAGGAGTCAGGTGGAAAGAGGGCTGGGAAGGCTGAGGAGGAGAGTGTTGGCACATCACCTTCTCTGCAGGCTACTACATGTTCATTGAGACATCAAGGCCCCGGGAGCTGGGGGACCGTGCGAGGTTGGTGAGTCCCCTGTACAACGCCAGCGCCAAGTTCTACTGCGTCTCCTTCTTCTATCACATGTACGGAAAGCACATCGGTGAGTCGAAGGACCAGGGAGCCTGCCCGAGTGAGTGCTGCTGCTGGGAGGGGGCAGGCTGCCACAGCAAGCTGGGGGCTGGTCTGCCTAAGGCCTGGGCTTCCCCACTCGGCCGGATCACAGGGAGTGTGATTGTACAGAGAGTGAGCAGAATCTGGGCAAGAGGGAGGTCCGGAGAGTCAACGTGTCTGAGGTCTTGAGATGATCAAGGCTTCCCAAGTCTGCAAAGAAAATGGCTTCAGCAGGATGAGGTGGAAGTCTTAGAGGGGATGGGGAAGTCAGCTAAGAGGCTACATGTATTGAGTGCCTGCCAGGTGACTTTCTGGATGCTCTGCATCTGTGGTCTCATTAACGCTCACAGCCACCGATTGAGTGAGGTATCACCATATAAGCCAGAGAGGTTAAGCATATGCCCCAAATCACACAACAGCCCAGTTCTGCTGACTCTCCCAAGCCCTAAACACAGGGTTGGAAAAGAGCTGTTTTGTGAGCAGCGAGAGGAAGTCCTACTTCCTACACACAACCGTGAACCCAAGGAGTGTGCCCTTTGGGAAGAGACGGCTCTGGTAGGGCGTCACATTAGTCAGTGAACTTGTCAGCTCAGCCATCACTTCCAGACGTCCTGCTCTGTGCCTGGCTTCAGGTGCTTCAGAGAACAGGATGGACAGATTCCTTATCCTCTTGGCACCTCCAGTCAAGTGGGAGAGACAGATGTTAAATAACTAATTGTGCCAGCTAGAATTTAGTGACCACCATGATGTGTGTCTGCAACGGCAGGACGGGGCTCGAGACAGCTAATAACAGGGAGACTTGACTGACTGTGGGGACCTGATTATGGAAGACTGCTGAGGAAGTGACAATTTTAATTTTAATATTGTTTGTCTACATATTTACGGGAAAGGTAATGTCTTTTGCACAAGTCAGAAGGTACAAAAGGTACATAATGAGAGTCCCCCTCCCATCCCAGTCCTCCTGCCACCTAGAGTGCCTCTCCAGAGCAACCAGGTACTAGATTTGAGGGGGGGAGGCACACTTCCAGAAATGTTTTATGTGTATAGAAGCCAGTACACATGTATCCTGTTTCCCCACATTTTATATACAGTGTCTGTGCCTTGCTTTTCCCTCAAAACTACCTCTTGACGATCATGTCTTAAGAGGTCACAGAAATCTTCACTGTTCTTGGCCGCACAGCAGAGGAAGTGACTTTAACCAAGTGTAGACCTAAAGGCTCATTGTGAAGTGTCCACAGCTGGACCAATGGGTCAGGCTAAACTGATGAACTAGAATGAGGTGGGGATGGGACCTTCTGCATCCGCTGGAGTCCTCCAGGCTGTCTGCACAAGCCAGTTCACTCGTGACTGGGTCTGGACTTTGTGAGAAGCTCCCTGTGAGATAGGTGGGGGTGGGGTTGAACGGGACCATGCTGCCCAGCTAGAGTAACCAGTTCAAACCAATCCTGGTTTACCCCAGCCTTTCCCACCTTTAGCACTAGAAGTCCCACATCCCAGGCAATCCAGGAAAGGTGGTCATTTTGTCCCCAGCTCAGGAGGAGCACGGGGGACCCAGCTGGCAAGAAGAGCATGTTGGATACAGTAAGGCCCTGGGAGATTAAGCTTTAAGAGCTGGGATGCCTGGGTGCCTGGGAGCAGAGGAAGCCCTGAGGGAGCTGTCTGTGTTCCAGAGCTTGCTAGGTGTCCCCCAGTAGGTGGGACAAACACCAATCATTGAAAATTTCTGGGAGGCAGACCTGAATTCCACCTGAAGAAGATGCTATAAGCACCGGATCTGCCCAGCAAAGGAGTCAGCTATTCTGTCCCTGGGTAGGAGGACCGTCTAGCAGGGGTGCTGTGGAGGGGACCCCTGTACCGGGTAATGTTACTCCCCTGCTCAGCCCTCTTCCCTCACTGTCTTCTTCAGGCCTCCCAAACCTGGTCCACCCCTGCCTGCTTCTCTGATCTCATTTTCTGCTGGTCTCCCGTGACTCCGCTCAGCTCAAGCACACTGATCTTCTTGCTTTTCTTTATACATTTGAGGCAGGTTTCTTCATGCCTTACAGGCCTTTACTTGTGATATTCCCCCTGACCTGGAATGTTCTCCCGCCTCATTCTGGTCTCCATGGAGAGGTCTCTGACAGCCCCACAGAAGATACTTCTCCATCCCTTCCCTGCATTATGTTCTTTATTGTGCTTACTGCCCAAAGAACGTAAGCTCCAGGAGGCAGGGTTCCTTTTCTTATTCATGGATGTGTCTCTGGTGTCTAGAACAGAGCCTGCTCAATTAGGTGAATGAGTGAATGAAAGGGAGGTAGTGGAGGCTGGACTTGATGACCCCTGAGGTAACTTCTAACTCTGAGATGCTATGAAAGTCCCTTTTCAGTCCTGATGACATAAAGAGGTCTTCACTGAGCATTCAGATATTGAAAGCAGATAGTAGTTTGATGGGGGCTTTCCCTCTGGAGTCAAATGAGAGAAGACGAGAATCCCAGTAACTATCACTCCACAGAGCGGGGAGTGCTCTGGGCAAGGGGAGCTGCAGTTGAAGGTCTCAGAGTTCACAGGAAGCACAGAGGGCTCCCACCTCCCGCCTGGGAAGACTTCCTGGAGGAGGTGATGTTTCAGAGAAACCCTGAAGCACAAAAAGGACTTGGTCAGGGGAACATAGTAGGTGAGGGCATCTCAAGCACTGGAAGCAGCTCAGGCAAAACCCAGGGTCTGCAAAGCTGGACTATGTCCAGGCTTCAGCTTGTAGCTCAGTTCAGCTCCGGAGGTGACAAAGAACATAGTGAGCAGGGCTCTGGCTGACCCTGTGAAAGGCTGTCAGGAAGAGGGGAGATCTTGGAGCTGGTGAAATGACCGGAAAGGGGGCAGAGCTTCAGTTTTAGTTTGAGCAGTGAAAGGGTGGGGTTCTCCCATTTGAGTCCTTGGGACAGGGTGGTGGAGGAGGAAGGAAAGGTTTGAAGATTGAGGCTAGACCCTGGGGGTTTGGGGATTGGGATAGGAGAAAAATCTCCAAGAAGGGGGAAGAGAAGGAGGTCCTCTTGGGGGCTGGTGCGAAGCCCAAAAGGCACTGGGGCCTGGGTCCTGCCTATGCCAGTGTGGCACCTCCTGGCCCTCTGGGTGCTGGCTGTAGTCCTCTGAGGGCTCTGTCTGCTGGCAAGGGTCCCCACTGGCCTCGGATCTTTGGTGTGTTCCTCCCCCAGGCCTAGGCCTGCTGCTGGGGAGGGGTGGGCATTTCCTGCTGTCCTGATCCCTCCTCTCCCTTCCCCTCCCACCCCACCTGGCAGCTCCAGGCACCAGCTGTCCCCAGACCTTGTGTCTCGCTGGCTCTCCTTGGCCCAAGCCAACTCCTTTGCTCTCAGGCAGGTAACATTTGGTGGCCTTCCCCCACCGGGGGTCTGTCTATCTGGTATCACAGATGGTGTGGCATTGTCTGTGGGCAGTGCCATGAAAATGCCAGGCACCAGGTGCCAACTAAGATTGATTCCCCTTCCCTCTGAGCCAGGTCTTCATGTCACAGAGGCCTTGAGATAGGCTGGCAGTGCCAGTGAAGGGGCATGCCCTTGCCTGGGTGCTCCTCCTCAAGGCTGCATCTACTCCTCCTTTTCCATCGCCTGTCAGCACCTCCACAATTCCAGGCCCCTGGGTCTGTGGGCCGAGGGGCTCAGCACCCCCTAGGTTAATACCTTCAAGTTTTCACATTTTACCATAGCTATGTAGCACATACACTAATACCTTTCTTTAAGTCACCTTCTTTTTTCTTAGCTTTGTCCTAAGCATCAATATTAGAGAAGTTGTGGGTTTGAAGGGCTCACTTTATTCACCTCTTAAAACATAAGTATTAGATTTTTATTGAGGTATAATTGACATTATATTAGTTCCAGATGTACAACATAATGATTTGACATTTGTGTATATTGCAAAATAATTGCTACAATAAGTCTAGTTAATATCCATCACCAGAATTTTTTTTCCTTACGATGAGAACTTTGAAGATCTACTCTCTTGGAAACTTTCAAATATGCAGTACAGTATTAGTAACTGTAGTCAGCATTACATTACATTCCCAGGACTTATTTTATAATTGGAAGTTCAACCCTTTTTAGTTCTTCACCCATTTCACCCACCCGCCACCCTCCAAGTATTAAATTCTTAAACTTGGTTCCTGTACCTTCAGGGGACTTCCCTGGTGGTGCTAGTGGTAAAGAACCCACTTGGTAAAGAGGTATGGGTTCGATCCCTGGGTTGGGAAGATCCCCTGGAGAAGGTGATGGCAACCCACTCCAGTATTCTTGCCTGGAGAATCCCCAAAGACAGAGGAGCCTGGCAGGCTACAGTCCATGGAGTTGCAAAGAGTCAGACATGACTGAAGCGACTCAGCACAGCATAATGACTGGTATCTGCCATTATATGGACAGAGGAATCCTTGGGGTTGCAAAGAGTCAGACACAAGGGAAGCAACTTAGCACACACTTATTTCCAGAAATCGTGGCAGTAGCATCGTCTACCACCAAGTGTGTGCACTGTGTGCTTTGGGAATCTTGCTTTGTGTTCAGACTTGGGCCCCAGTGTCCTAGGACAACTCTCCTGCCTAGAGGAGGAAGGGTGGGGGTGTGTTCCAGGGTGGGGGGAATTACTGATTAGGAAGGAAGGGAAGACATGAAAGAAACTTTGCAAATTGTCCTGATGAACGGAAGCCCTGCCGCTGTCTTCTCTCTTTCCCACACTGAGGTCCCCTCTGGGATAACAGGGTGCTGACCAGTCTGCAGTGCGGAGAAGGTCCCATGTGGTGGGGGTAGTGCTGCACGCCCTGATAGGGAATAGAGGGTGGTGAATGGGGAAAGGTGAGTGGCCCCTCACTGCCGCCTCTCCTCACGCCCGACACAGGCTCCCTCAACCTCCTGGTGCGGTCCCGGAACAAAGGGGCCCTGGACACGCACGCTTGGTCCCTCAGTGGCAATAAGGGCAACGTGTGGCAGCAGGCGCATGTGCCCATCAACCCGAGCGGGCCCTTCCAGGTGAGTACCCCAGGCCCGCCTCTCCTTACAGCGCTCCCGGCCTGGGGCTGCTCCCGGGAGCTGAGGAGGAAAGCATGCAGGGATGGGGGGACCTTCCTGGGAGACGGAGGGTAAAGGCTGGGAACAGAACCTCCCTCAGCATGCTCCCTGCTCTCTGATCCCACCCCAGATTATTTTTGAGGGTGTCCGAGGCTCGGGCTACCTGGGGGATATCGCCATAGATGACGTCACCCTGAAGAAGGGGGAGTGTCCCAGGAAGCAGATGGATCCCAATAAAGGTGCAGGGCAGAAAGTGGGTGGGGGGTGCCTGTGTTAGGGGAGGTGTTGTTGGGGTCAGGATTGGGGTTCCGAGTGGTGGGGTGATGGGGTGCATGTGTTGGTAGCTGTGGAAACAGGTGCTGGTGTGTTGGGTACTCACCTCGGGCCCCACCCTGGCTCAGGCTGTGGGCTGCATGGACAATGAGACGACCAGACCCTCTGGTGAGCTAAGTTTACAGTAGCAGTGTCTGTGTCTGGGAATATCTGTGTGTGTGTGTGTGTCCAAGTGTGAAACCTGTACCCCTTCCCACATTGGGGGCCAGGTGTTTGCGATAATATCAGCTGGAGGTTACCAAGTAATTACCACATACCAGGCAAGGTATAGACGCCTGTATAGGTATGGTCTCATTCATTCCTCACCACAGTCCTCCGGAGTGGCTCTTCTTCCACTCATTTTATTTTTATTTTATTTTTACTTTATTTATTTTTATCATTCCCCATTTTCTTTTCTTTTCTTTTTTTTTTTTTTTTGGCCACACCACAAGGCATGTGGGATCCCTAGTTTCCCAACCAGGGATCAAAGCCCTGCCTCCTGCAGTGGAAGCGTGGTGTCTGACCTGCTGGGTGACCAGGAAGGTTCCCTATTAGACTCATTTTATAGATGAGGAAGATGAGGTCCCTGAGGTCGAATGAGTTGCTCTGTGTCTTCCTTAGTGAGCCACAGGCCAGGATTTGGACCCCACAGGCAGAGTTAACCCCTACCTCACGTCTTGCGAGTGTGTCTGTGTGCACAGAGTGGGGGCAGAGGAACGACCCTCGCATGGCCCGCCTGCCCCTCCCTGGCACTGCCGAGCTGACCGGAGCCCCGGCCTGTGTCCCTTCTCTCTCCCGTCACAGTGGTGGTGATGCCGGGCAGTGCAGCCCCCCGCCAGCCCCTCCCGCAGCTCTGGGGGCCTGTGGCCGCCTTCCTCCTGGTGTTGCAGAGATGATGAGAGCTGCGTGGCGCCCCCACCCCGCCCCCCCGGCACACCAAAGTGTCCGCATCGTACCAAAGACTGACCCCACGCCAGCCGGGGTGCCCAGGGGCAGGGCCGCCCGCCAGGGAGGGGGCCGGCGCCGGCCGCAAGGAGCAGAGAACAAGGACAAAGGCCCAGCACTGAGACCCCGGAGACGGTTGTTCGACACACGCACACACCCACACTCACACACACACACAGATCTATTAAAGCACAAGTTTCTATCCAACCTGCCAGCACCTTCTTTACTGCAGAGACAGGGGACTCGCCTGAATGGCATCCACCACCCCAGGGACCTTGGCGCCACATGGTCCTTGTCGGGGCTGCAGCCGTGGCATATTTCTGCCCTTCCCCTGGCCCCGACTCAAGGCTCAGCTGAGCCCAGTGGCTTCCTTCCCCAGCAGGAGCCAGAAGGGAAGCGGGCATAGGAGCTCTGCCCTGGGCGGGACTCTGGGACTCCTTGGGACGGAGGAGCCTGGGATCGAGGGGCCACGAGGAACTCTGTGAGCTGTGTGGATGACACGCGAGGCAAGGCACTAGCTGCACAGAACTCGGTTCCCAGAGTGAAGGCCAGACGCCGGAGAGCCCAGGTCACCCCCAGCGCCTGGCCCACTCACTCCTGGGGTGTCGTATCTGTGCCCCCCTCCCCCGCCACCACCGCTGTGCCCCCTTTAAAGGGAGCCAGTGCAGGGTCTTGGGCCTGGACAGTCTGAAGGCCGACCCCTCCCCACCATCCCCTCCCACTGCATCCCCCACAAGCAGCTGGCTTCCTGAGAACACAGCCCCCACCCTGGTCACGGGCCTAACCTCAGCCCCCCACCCCTGTCCCCGTTGCATCCCCAGGAGCCAGGAGAGGGGTGGTGGCCAAGCCATTTTCTGGGGTGAGGTTTGACTTTGAGAGGAGCAGAGAAGTCCTGCCTTTATGATTTCATGCCTGCATATTGGGTGCTGATTTTAGGGGTAGTGAATCTTCTGTTTCTTATATCCCTGCCATGAAGGGGTGCTCTGGGCGGGGTGTGGCGGGGCTGCACTGTTCTCCACCTCAAAGCAGGGTCTGCTTCTCTCTTCCTTCTCCACCCAGGGTCAGTGAAGGAGAGGGGTTTGTTGATGACCTGAGGGGACAGTTGCTGGTCACCATATTCCCTGGGAGCTGAGGCTCATGCCTCCAAGCTGAAAAGAGGCTCCATGCTCTTGGTCTTGAATTGGGGGGCTGAGATGGGCATGAGGGGACCTAGACCTCCCTCTCACCATCACCCCTGAGCCCCACTCCCAGCTGTCCATGGGACAGAAGAGGCCCAGCCCTTTCCAGGGTGGATCGTTATGCATGTGTGCATGTGGCTATGTGTGTGTGTGTGTGTGTGTGTGTGTGTGCACGTGTGAGCACATGTGGGCATCTGTCTACCATTGTGGTGAGTACATCTCTGGCAGGAGTGTGTGCAAATATACATCTATGTGTGCAATTATCTGTACGTGAGGCTGGGTCTCACCCTCCTCTGTGAGTGCCTGCGGATGTCAGTACGTCCGTCTTTATGAATGAATGATGTGGAGCATTGGCCAAGAATGCCACTTCAGCCCTATTGCGTAGTCTCGTGTGCCCTGCCACCACCTGAAGTTTTACCTTTTATCCCCGATGGGAGACGAAGCTTACAGATGACCCTATGGAAATGAAGGGGGCTCCTCCTGGAGCATTTGTTGGGAACAGCTGCAGATGAGAGACAGGCACTGCGATGCCAGGAGGCAGGCGGGAAACCAAAGCAAACGTGCCCATCTCTGCTTTGCCAGGCCTGAGTTATCATCATCACCACCACCTGGGTGGCCAGGCCAGGGCTGGAGCAGGGCCTCCTGATAACCAACCAGCACGGCCGCCTTCCCAGCCCCGCCAAGGCCTGTCTTAGATGAGTGTCTCCGGTTCCCAGAGCATGCTTTCATCGCGTCTGTGGGCGTTGTTCCTTAATTGTCCCATCTGTGCAGGGTCTGCTGCCCCAACTAGACTGTGAGCTCCTCCTCTGAGCCTTCCAACCCTCCCCCGACCCATCCCCACCTCATACCCAGCACAAGTGGGCCTGTTACAGAAATCTCTCCGTCGGCTTTGCCCAGCGGGATGGATTATAGAAATCAGTGGTTCCCGGCCCGGCTGCAGAATAGAGTCATCAGAGGGTCTTTTGGGAATTGCCAACGCTCAGGGCCCCCTCCAGAGGTGCCAGTTTAATTGGACTGGAGTGCAGCCTGGCATCAGGCATGTTTAAAAGCTCCTCAGGAGAACCTGAGAGTGGGAACCACTGACCTGTCACCTGCCAGGTGCCCCCTCTGTGCCCTGGCTGGGTGGGTGCTGAACATTCAGAGCACCTCCTCCCTGGGGTTCCGTGGTGCCCTGTGTCTGCTGCTCTTGGATGGGCTTTGAATACATCTGTCCCCGGCTCTGACTGCTCCGTGATGGGGAGCCGGTCTCCCTCGCTCACCTCCACATCTGTAGAGCTGAATACAGAAAAGGGACGTGGCGTATGTCAGCTGACTGAACCTCCCACTCATGGCCCCCGAGTTCTGGTCTGTTTGGAGAGAGGGGACAGTTGGGTCACACGGACAGAGTGCAGGGTGGGGCAGAAACGGGGAACCGCCAGAGGGAGGTCGAGGTGGCCCGTGGGAGCCCTGATTGGAGGCTGGCCTGACCGGGGCTCACAAGGCGCCCGAGGGGACCTCTGAGGTCCTTGGTCCCCGCGTGTGTCTGCGTGTCCCAGCAGATCTGTAGGGGATGCGGGTGTTACTGTGTGCTGACATGAGCAGTGTGTGATGTGTGCGCCTCGGGGAGTGCTAGCCTCTGTGCATGGGTGTGTGTGCATGTGTGTGTGTATAAGGGGTCTGCAAGAGTGAGTGTCAGCGCGTGTCCCTGGGGAACTTGTGAGTCAGCACCTCTGCGTCAGTGTCACCTCTGTCCTGTGCGTCGTTGTGTGCCAGTGAGTGTCAGCATCCGTGTGTCAGTAGGTGGCCCACGAGGACCCCCGCCCCGGGGGGAGACCAGACTGGCTGGATCCAGTGCATCTCCCCAGTGGCAGTCTCGCCCTCTGGCTCAGGGTGGCTGAGGCATTTTGTGGCCTTAAAATGGGGAGTCCAGGGTCCGTCCTCAGGGTGTTGGGGTCCTTCAGCCCTGTCCCCTCCAGGTTGGTGTCTGGGGGACAGAGGGACTCCTGGGGCCAGGTGCGGTCTGGGTGGGAGAGAGCGAGTCTCAGTTTGGCTGTCCTGCTCCTGGGACGACAGACGGCCTCCTGGGGCACAGAGCTAAGCCTGCTGACCGAGCCCTCTCCTCCTGGGACACACCTTCCGCCTCTGCCCTCTCTGGGACTCCTCTTTCTCATTCCCTTTCCCCATTATCAGTGAAAGCCCCCGGCTCAGGCGTCAGTGCTGGGAAGGGCCGCTGGGGTCCAGACTCCTCACGGGTCGAATGAGAGTGAAGCAGGGAAGGGGGGGGGGTCTTGGCCCAGCTCACACAGCCGGCTGAGGTGGAGCCAGCCTTGGAAGCCAGGCTCCGCAGCCCTGGGGTGTCACACCTGTGGCCGCTGCCCAGCCAGGCAGCCAGGAGGAGCTTGGTCAGACAGCCCTGTCTCCGGGGGCTGCTGCGGATGTTACGGCTGTTCCCGGGCCCTGCCCTGGGAGCGGGGCTGCCTCCCTGCCCTCATTCTGGCCTCATGTCCCAGGCCACAGCCTCTCCCTCCCCGGGTCAGGCCTGGGTGCAACAGGGAGGCTGCCACCACCCCCTGCTCACACTGGCTACAGCTGCTGCCCGCCCCCCGCCCCCCGCAGGGCTCCCCCATGAAAGGGGCTCTGTGTTCCTTCCCCTCTGTCTTCACATGAACCTGGGCTGGGAATGCAGGTCAGTGGGTCCTGGTGTCCTCGTCCTGTTGACTTTCCCCCTAAGGATCAGGGGAGCCTGGGGGAGCAGGGATAACCCTTGTGTTTTCTTCTCTGGACGGCTCAAAGGGGAGAGGGGCTATTTCCAGGGTCTGTCTTCAGGAACGGGATGGCTATACCTGCCCTGGAGAGTCGCTGCTTGCCGAGTTTCTGGGTGCAGGGAAGCCCCCCTCAATTCCCAAGGCAGGCTCGGTGCTGCTGTGTGTGTACCCCTACAAGAGGATGTGTGTGTGCGTGTGAGAGACAGGGTGTGCAAGAATGTGTGTATGTGTGAGGGTGTATGTTGGGGCAGAAGGATCCCACTTTTCCTGGGGATCCCTTGACCCTTAACCTCTGCCCCCATTTTGTTCCCTGTTCACCCCATGCCCCCCCACCCCCCCAAATGTAACCTCTAGTTGCGGACGCGGTTGTTTCAATCAATAAAGCTGCAGTGTTCTAGCATCTGGGGTCAGGCTCTGTGTGTTGGTGGCAGGTGAGCCAGGCCTGGAGCGGGTGTGGGTGGGAGGCCTGGGGTCCTGCTCAGGCCCCTTCTTCCCTTTGGCACCTGATTTCATGGATCCTGCTCTGTGGTCTGGACAGTGGGGGCCTGCTTCTTGGTCTCTAGTCCAATTAACTCGGGTGCCCTTGTTTATTAGTTCCTTCCACAAACGCTAGCTAAATGCTGCCTTTGTGGGAGCTCCTGTTTAGTGGGGGAGATGGACACTAGGTTCATAATTAAATACACTGGAAAAATGTATCCTTGTGAACACAATTAGTGCTGTGACGGAAACTGATGCTGTGGAGAAAAGGTAAGAGGGGGGTGTTATTTGGGTTGGGGCTTCAGAGAAGACTTCTCTGAAGAAGAGACACTTAGAAGACACCTAAAGAAGAATAGAAGTTTGCGTTTGGGGACAGAGAGAATCTTCCAAGCAGAGGAAACAGAATATGCGCAGGCCAGGAGGGGTGAGAAAACTTAGACTCAGAACTTGCCTGGTGGTCCAGTGGTTGAGAGTCCTCCTGCCAGTTCAGGGGACACAGATTTGACCCCTGGCCTGGAAACTAAGATCCCACATGCTGCAGGGCAGCTAAGCCTGTGAGCCACCA